GTAAGTAAATCTAGATAAAACCACAGAGGAGTCAACCAACCAACCCTAAGAATTGTAGGAATATTAAATGGATATTTTCAGTATACGGGATGCAATCATTTCAGTTCAGTTGCTCAGTTGTGTCCAATTCTTTGCAACCCCATGAACCACAGCACGCCAGGCCTCCCTGTCCATCACCAACTCGTGGAGTTCACCCAAANGCACATATACCCACTCATTATTCATGGGACATTCAAAACATTTTAAAAATAGGAATTGAAATATCACTTTTCAAAAATAAAAATACAGAATTTGTAAGATACAGTATGAGTGTCCTAAAGCATCCTTCCAAATACAGAGGTTGATTTTTTTTTTCATATATTACTTTATTTGCAATGGAGCCTTTCTAGTTTTGTTACCGGTAGACTTCCTTTACTTGTTGAGGTGAACTGTCAGCCAAGGAGAGGTGAAGAATGGCTATGATGAAGGTGCCAGCAGGCAGCAATCACTTTACACTTTGCAAAGGGCACGACTACCTTCCAGGGCTGGAGCCAGGAAAAGAATCATAACCACAGCTTCCGATCTGAATATTTACAGTGTCAACCAAGTCCAGTGCTTGGATCTACACTGCTACTATCCAAAAATAATTTTGCCGTACACCCATTTTAACTCCTATATCCACCTCAAATCACCATAAATAATTTTTAAGTGTATATTTCACATCCCTATTCTTCCCTCTTATATAGGGGAAAAAAAAAAAAAAACCACTTTGATAAAGGACAAGCAGTTGAACCAGACAATCTGTAAACAAATAGAAATGCAGCCCCATATCTATAGTGTTGAAAATGTGTAGATCACAGTTGGGAATGGGTGGTTATGACTAGTGTGAGTGGGTGCTTAGTTGCCCAGTCGTGTCCAGCTGTTTGTGGTCCCATGGACTGTAGCCCACCAGGCTCCTCTGTCCATGGGATTCTCCAAGCAAGAATACTGGAGTGGGTTGCCATTCTGTTCTCCAGAGGATCTTCCCAACCCAGGGGTTGAACCCACGTCTCCTGCATTACAGGCAGATTCTTCACCAACTGAGCCACCAGGGAAGCCCTGGTTACGACTAGGTTTGAAGTTAAATAGATGATCCAGACTCACCTGATTTTAAGCAAAGGACCACTATGATCAAGACTACACATTTAAGTTTGCATTTGGCCAAGAGCAGTGTGGTAGCTCCTTTCCAAATGTGTTCCCTCCCCACCCCCACAATGAGCCTCATCTCCTGTTGTTTATGCCTTGTCTGATCCCTTCCCCTTGAATCTTTTTTTTTTTTCCTCCTTGAATCTTGAACAGTCCTATGCTTGCTATTGATCAATAAAATGTTACCAAAAATGATGCTACAAAACTTTCAAGGTTAGCTTCTTTTTTTTTTTTATTTATTTATTTTTGGCTGTGCTCCATCTTCATTAATGCATGGACTTTTCTCTAGTTGCAGCAAGCAGAGGTAACTCTCCATTGTAGCACACAGACTTCCCATCGTGGTGGCTTCTTTTGTTGTGGAGCACAGGCTCTAGGGCTCATGGGCTTCAGTAGTTGCAGTTCCTAGGTTCTAGACCACAGGCTCAATAGATGTGGCCCACAGGCTTAGATGCTCCGAGGCCTGTGGGGTCTTCCCGACCCAGGAATCTAACCTGTGTCTCCTGAATTGGCAGCAGATTCTTTACCACTGAGCTATCAGAGAAGCCGCAAGGCTAGCTTCTGCCTTGGACTCTTAGAAAGCTGACTCCGATAAAATTCAGATCAACTGGCAGAGGGATGAGCGGACACTCATTTGCTGATGCAAACAAAAACCATTGATATGATCCACTGACTTAGACTGACTTACTAAAAATTGTAAAAGTGAAGATACAGGCCCTCTGTTTAGAACCCTACATTTGTCTGTGGAATAGAAGATGCTCTTTGAGAGTTTTCTCCTGGGAGAAACCACTAGAAGTGGCCATTGNCTCAGTTAAATACAGGAAACTTCCCCTGGATTTTATCAAGTCTTCTTAAAACATACATCACAAGATCCAGTAGAAAGTATCACTATTTTTTACCAGTGAGCGAGTGAAAGTCACTCAGTCAAGTCCGACTCTTTGCTACCCCATGGACTATACAGTCCATGGAATTCTCCAGGCAAGAATACTGTAGTGGGTAGCCTTTCCCTTGAATTACCCATAAGAATGGGCTTCCCAGGTGGTGCTAGTGGTAAAGAACACGCCTGCTAATGCAGAAGACATAAGAGATATGGGTTCGATCCCTGGGTGGGGAAGATCCCCAGGAGAAAGAAATCACAACCCACTCCAATATTCTTGCTTGGAGAATCCCATGGACAGGGGAGCCTGGAGAGTTAGAGTCCATGGGGTTGCAAAGAGTTGGACACAACTAAAGTGACTCAGCATGCACACACACATCCAAAAGAACTCTAAGGTAGCTCAAACTCCACCGAGTACAGAATTTTACTGTTCTTTGAACAAAGTGAGTATGTAATTCAATGAGGCTTCTAACATTAGGTGATCCGAAGTAGGAGGTACCAGAATAATACAAATGATTACTCCATCTGCCTAGGTGAGTAGATTTGTAACCTATGTTCTCCTTGCAAGGATCTAAGACTTTCTCCTCCAAACATTTCCAAAGTCTCCACTCCACTGATCACTCATTAACTACAAAAGAGTAAATGGACTTTAATAGAGAATCTGGAGAACACTTCAGATTTCAGTGACCACTGATACTGGTACAACTTAATATTATGCATATAAGAATAACAGGTGCTTAATATTTAAAATGTTCTTCCTGAAGGAAAACAATAAGAAGACCACCTCATACTGTGTGCCATCTTGGAAGGGTTCTTGCCATCTAATCAAACCAAAGAATTGATGCTCTCAAATTGTGGTGCTAGGGAAGACTCTTAAGAGTCCCTTGGATGGTAAGAAGATCCAACCAGTCCTAAAATAAATCAACCCTGAATATTCATCAGAAGGACTGATACTGAAGCTCCAATACTTTGGCCACCTGATTCAAAGAGCTAACTTATTGGAAAAGACCCTGAGGCTGGGAAAGATAGAGGGCCGGGAGAGAAGGGGGCAGCAGAGGATGAGATGGTTGGATGACATCATTGACTCAATGGACATGACTTTGTGCAAACTCCAGGAGATAGTGAAGGACAGGGAAGCCTGTCATTCTACAGTCCATGGGGTTGCAAAGAGCCGGACATGACTTCGTGACTGAACAACAACAATCAAACCTCTCAACCTTCCTTCGAGCTTACAGGCAAAGTGGTGTCTAATTTTTTAGAGAAAAAATTAAATGATATCAGGAGGAAAACAAAGTCAGACAAATTAAGAAAGAATCCTCTGCTTAAACAATTGGCTCACACTCTTCAAAAACTTAATACCACAAAAACAGGTAGAGGATTTATTTTCTATTTATTCTCCAATAAAACAGACAGCCATAACAACAAAGGAATGCATGACTCTTTATTGGGCTATTTCTCCATAAAACCAAGACTTTTTTGACAACTGTAGAAATTTGCATATGGGCTAGATATTCTGTTCAGTTCAGTCACTCAGTTGTGTCCGAATCTTTGCGACCCCATGAATCGCAGCACGCCAGGCCTCCCGGTCTATCACCAACTCCTGGAGTCCACCCAAACTCATGTCCATTGAGTCGGTGATGCCATCCAACCATCTCATCTTCTGTTGTCCCCCTCTCCTCCTGCCCTCAATCTTTCGCAGCATCAGGGTCTTTTCAAGTGAGTCAGCTTTTCACATCAGGTGGCCAAAGGAAGTTTCAGCTTCAACATCAGTCCTTCTGATGAACACCCAGGACTGATCTCCTTTAGGGTGGACTGGCTGGATCTCCTTGCAGTCCAAGGGACTCTCAAGAGTCNCGTTCCCTGAACTATTCTTCCAGCTTTTCACACCGCGATGGTGCAGCCAAACGGTTCACGATACGACAGAATGGGAAGCAGTTTTCAGATGGCACTACTTTAGGGGTGCCCAAGAGATGAGAGGAAATACTATTCCTGGATTAATTCAACAACCGTCACCCAGAGACAGTTACAACCAGAGGCGCGCCTCAATAACAGCACACTCAGTTCCCGCGCCTCAAAGCCTCTCCATGCCTCCCAGGGAGCAGCAGTTTGGTGGGACTGACTTCCTCTGAATTCTCCAGGGCAAAGGAAGAGTACTGAGCGGCATTTCACCAGAGCGCGCGACGCCAGGGACTTCTGTTCACACCCCGGGCCACTGAAATCTCGATGTATCCCCACCCTCCGTTTTCTATTGATTCTAAAAGGAAAACGCGCATTTCTTCCGCGAGAACAAAAGAACTCCCCAAGCTTTCTTCTTTCCTTCCTAGCTCTGCGCGGGCTGCAATAAGTAAATCCCTCCCAGATTGCCTCGAGGCCGGGCATTTACGCAACTTGAAAACAGGGCTAGGAGAGCATATAGGAGCGCGCCTTAAATCGAAATCCTTCCCGAAGTCGGCCACTACATCGACTCACCCCGGCTAGGCTCAACTGTAAATTGCCTACCTAGCACCGCGGTGCGTGACATGCAAACTGATGGCGAGGATCCAGAGCGCGCGCCCGGACCAGCGCTGAGGGCTGGGGGCAGATGCCCGCCGCCCTCCAGCTGGATTCGGGGCCCGCGCGTGCGTACGAGCGAGCTGGCGAGGGGCTCCCGGGCGCGGCGCGTGGTCTGCGCGCGCCCGGCCGTGCGTGTGGCTGCGGGAGGCTGCGTGTGCGCGCGGGGAGGGACAGTCCGCCGCCCGCTCGCCTCGGAGCAGGGTGCGCGCCCTGCGCGGGAGGTGAGTGTGGGCAGGGGCGCTGGGCCGGAGCGGAAGCCTTGGAGAGCACCCCCCGCCTCCACTCCCCGGGCTGGGTGGCGGGCGTGGCCCTAGGACCTGCTTCTTCCGCGCCGCGCCCTCTTCAGGGACACCCGGGCCCGGGCGGCTCGGCCGGGAGGCGGGCGGGGCGGTGCCGCCTACTCCTCAGGCCCTCTCTCGGAGCGCCACTGGGGTGGAACCGCGATCAGCCGAGCCCTGGGGCTCTGGCCTCCGCGACGTTCAGCTGCCCCACCGGGTGAGCGCGGGAGATGGGGCCTTATGAGGCTGTGGGCGACATCGCGGAGCGCCGGGCTGCGTGGTGGGGCCAGGCGGAGGCTAGAAGGAGCCCTCTGTCCTTCCTGACCCGCCCCAGGGCGCAGCCCACCCCAGCCCGTCGCCTCGAGCCGCTCCGGTGGCACATTCTGGGAGCAGCCGGTGGCTCGTTGGCCGGGTCGGCTGGGGAGGAGACGGGACGGTGTTTCGGTGTCGGATTCCCCAGCAGGCCTGGAGTAATTCATTGCCCAGACTCTGGAGAAGGGCCCAGGAGCTGAATTGTGGGAGGGTTGTTCCTCCTGGGGAGGGATTGGGAGGAATATGGACCTAAGAAGGATGGGCGGGCGAATTGGCCAGAGGGAGGAGGAAAGCTCTAGGGGCCGGGGCTTTGTGATTTTTAAGAGGCGGTCTTAGCAAACCTACAAGTCATTTTAAAGGAAACCTTGAAGGTGTAATGGAGCCTCACTTTTTCAAGCAATAAGGAATGATACCGGCAGGAGTTACATTCCGTATTCCTTCTTTCTCTTCCGCTTCTCACTGCTTTTCTAGGAGGGAAATTTGCAAAGCAGAGATGGTTTTCTTTCCTCTCTGTGTTCTGCACATAGTACCAGGGGTAAGGAGGTGGCTGCTTTGTCAGCCACAAGTTGTTCTTATGTTTTGGGGTGGTTTTTTTTTTTTTTCTTTCTGTTTTTAGAGTTAAGGAAGATTTGAGTTTGCAGTACTGGGAACGGCTTAGTGTTTTGGCCCTTTTTTCCCCAGGCAGCTTAGACAGAGGTAGGGAGCTAATTTTTTGCTCTCAAAATGTATTGATACCTGATAAAAGCATACTTTGAACCTGTATCAGTGGAGAGAAATGAACTATTTACTATTTAGAGATAAGAGTCGAAGACTCTTTTTTTCTCCTAAACTAGAAAGTTCATTCAAATGAATGGTTGTTGGGTAATTTCAGTCCTGAAAATAAAGCCTGTTATCTAGACAGTTGTTGCTCAGTGGTGTCAGACTGTTTGCGTTCCCATGGATTGCAGCATGCCAGACTTCCTGTCCTTCACCATCTCCCAGAGCTTGCTAAAACTCAGTGTCCATCAAGTTGGTGATGCCGTCCAACCATCTCATCCTCTGTCATCCCCTTCTCCGCCTGCCTTCAATCTTTCCCAGCATCAAGGTCTTTTCCAGTGAGTCCGCTCTTCTATCAGGTGGCCAAAGTATTGGAGCTTCAGATTCAGCATCAGTCCTTCCAGTGAATATTCAGGACTGATTTCCTTTAGAATTTACTGACTTGATCTCCTTGCAGTCCAAGCGACTCTCCAACACCACAGTTTAAAAGCATCAATTCCTCACTGCTCAGCCTTCTTTACAGTCCAACTCTCACATCTGTACATGACTACTGGAAAAACCATTNGAATTTTCCAGTTTGTTGTGATCCACACAGTCAAAGGCTTTAGCATAGTCAGTGAAGCAGAAGTAGATGTTTTTCTGGAATTCTCTTGCTTTTTCTATGATCCAATGGATGTTGGCAATTTGATCTCTGGTTCCTCTGTCTTTTCTAAATTCATCTTGAACATCTGGAAGTTCGTGGTTCACGTACTGTTAAAGCCTAGCTTGGAGGATTTTGAGAATTACTTTGCTAGCATGTGAGATGAGTGCAATTTTGCGGTAGTTTGAACATTCTTTGGCATTGCCCTTCTCTGGGATTGGAATGAAAACCGAGTCCTGTTGCCACTGCTGAGTTTTCCAAATTTTGAGTGCTGGTATATTGAGTGCAGCACTTTCACAGTAACATCTTTTAGGATTTGAAGTAGTTTAGCTGGAATTCCATCACTTTCACTAGCTTTGTTTGTAGTGATCAAGACAGTGGCCAAATATAAATCAGATGAGATGCATGAAGTGATTTGAGAGCAAGGAGGAAGAAGAGAGGATCAAAGCTTTAACAGAAATGAAAATAATGTTGATAATAGGTATAGAACATTAATTTTACTAATTTTTTAAACGTTTTATTTTGTTTTGGGGTGTAGCTGATTAACAATGTTGTGATAGTTTCAGGTGAACAAAAAAAGGGACTGAGACATACATATACATGAATTCATTCTCCCCCAAACTCCTCTCCCATCCAGGCTGCCACATACCATTGAGCAGAGTTCCATGTTCTTACAGGAATAGGTGTTTGTTGCTTATCCAGTTTAAATATAGCAGTGTGTTGATCCCAAACTCCTCAACTATCCCTCCCCTTCCCCCTGCAACCATAAGTTCGTAGAACATTAATTTTAGATGTTATCGTGCCCAATGTTGTTAAGTTATGACTGTAATATATTCCTTTTCTTTTCTTCTGTTCAGTAGTTCATGGCAAATCTTGTAATTAAGCATGGGATATGGAAAACAAAACACTTCAGCTGGTACTTTAATCTCATGTGAAATTCTACAGGTAAGCCCATCTTATTTTAATTGAGAAACTATCCATATTGGTTAAAATTGCATATAATAGTCTCCTTTATAAGATTTTAAGGATCATTTATGCAGCTGCAAGTTTTGTTGTGTATTCTAATGTATTTCTTTCCCTAAAAGATTCCAGGGGTTGAAAGAGTTAAGCTCAATTAAACCATTTAAGATTATATAAAGATATATGTATGTGTGTATATATATATATATATATAAAAAATCATCATAAAACACCATGGTATCTCAGAAAAACATAGCTATATATACTGAAATTAGTGGTCATGTTCAACTCAAGATCGGACTCAACTCTCTTTATCCCTAAAAAACATACTCCATTGAATAATTCTGTCTTTTTCTTCCCTTTCACCTGATTTGCCTTGTCTCTATGCCCGGTCTCCAGCTCTGTTCTGTTCACTATTGGATAATACAGGTAGAACTCCGTTTTAGGAAATGCCTTTATTCCTTCTGCCACCATATAATGTCCAGGCCAAATACGCTTTTCTGTTGCATCTCTAACATCTATCATTGTTCATCCCTGCTCACTGTGTAGTAGGTACCCACGCTACAGCTTCATGAATGAGATTCACAATGGAAGAGTCAAACAGGGTGCTTTTAAATGGCCTGGCACAACAGATTCAAGAGTTGCAATCAGTTTAATAGCAGGCTCTTTAGCATATATCTTTTTTGAGACTATGAGCATTGATTTCATTTTAGTAAAATGTTGCATATAATAAATATTGATTTGCTTTTGCAACCAGAGCTTTTGATACATTGTGAATTAGAAGAGAAGGGAAGGCATGGCAAAGCTAGAAGTGACTTGTAGGGGGTCTTCCTCCATCTTCTTCAGATGGGCTTTGCTCATACTGTGCAGTCTGAAACTTGGAGTTGTGAACCTTCCTCTACACTCTGCATTGTGTCTGAAACTTGAGGGCCAGGCAGCCCAGTCGCTATCATAGGTCCAGTGTATTAAATGGGTGAATGAAATACATTCAAATAGCTAAGGACAAGGGAAGTGGTAACTTGGTTTGACAGACAAGAGTGACAAGAGATCTGTTAATACTCCTCATCTAGGGCCACAGTGGGAAGAAGTAGTAGCTAGAGCAGCTTTCACCGTCCTCCTCCAATGAGTGAAGCTCTAACAAAATAGAAGCAGGCAGCCAAGCTGTCAGGTCAGCCTTGGTGCTACTCTGCCTGACTTGCTACTCAGCCTTTGCCGCACAGGCTACTTGCTACTCAGTCTTTGCTACACTTCCAGTTTTCCTAGCTTTTCTGGACCTGGTTATCCTGTTGCTTCTTCCCACAGGCTACTCTGTCATGTGACTCCCTCAGACTGCCCACCACTCGGGGCAGAGTTGTGTCAACGTTTTTGTACACCTTGCTCCCTGCACTGGAATCTCGAAAGGCTATGAGGTTGGGTGTGAGGTTGGGCATTTCTACAGGTGCTGTGCTCTGGAGAAGGGATATAGCATTTAGAGTTGAACCTGAGCTTGGGTTCCAGGTCCACCTGTTCTTGGGCTGCACTGGTCTCTGAAAAAATAACATGGTGACACCCATTTTACCATGTTGTGAAATGTGCTTTGTAAATTGCCCAAAAGTCCACTTAACCTTAAAACAAACAAACCCTGCTGACAACATTGTAAATCAACTATACTTCAATTAAAAAAATTAAAAAAATTTTTTAAAGTTTTAAACTCTGCTTAAAATTCTAACATGTATTGCAAATTACAAAAAGTACATTCTGTGTGTGTATGTGTGTGTGTGTGTGTGTGTGTGTGTGTTGGATACAGTTGCACATAGGGCAGAAGCAAAGAGAAGATTGCAAATGAAAAGCAAAGAGAAAATTGCAAATTGGCAGGTCCTGCTACTTCTAATTGCTCTTCATCTTTCTAAGCCTAAAGATCCTACACTCCACAACCACAGAAATCTGTAAAATATAGATGTCCTCTGTCTGCAGGGGATTAGTTCTAGGGCTCCCTAAGATACCAAAATCCATCACAAGTCCTTAAGATGGCATAATATTTGCATATAATCCATGCACATCCTCCATATACTTTAAATCATCTCTAGGTTACTTCTAATATGTAATATAAATGTTATGTAAAATATAACATTTAGTTTTGTTATTTGTAAATACAAGGTAAATGATACATAAATAGTTGCCAGTGCACATGGCAAATTCAAGTTTTGCTTTTGGGAACTTTTTGAAATTTTTTTTTTAACATTTTTAATCAAAAGTTAGTGGAGCCCATGGTTGCAGAGTGCTGTATTCCCTTCTGTTGTTATTCCTACACTACAATACCTTGTTTATAAACAGTACATGCCTTTTTAAAATATGTTTTTAAAAGCTCAGGCGTCTTCTACCTCAATAAGCAGGAGACTGGAGGCTTCTCTAATGAGGCTGGAATAAAGGGTATTCCTCCCACACATCTGAGTATCTGAAGGTAATACTGCTGCCACCTGCAGGG